GTCGATTGGAGGGGTGGTCTGACGAGGGTCTGGGGTGCGGGCCCGAAACTAATATGCTGCACACGGCAAAAGCATCAAGATGGAGAGGGAGGGCGAAGAGGTAGAGGCGGATCTATCAATTTCCGAAGCGCGTGAAAGGGGATTACGTTCGATTACGTTATACAGAGAGGGACGGAGTTTTTCGTCCCATTCAAGTGCTAAAGGGGGAGACGCCCCTTTTATTTTTATTTCTTTTAATCTGTTGAGTTTCGTGAGATAATAATGTGGTGCGCGGCGCAAAGGAGCATGCAGGGCTGAACAGGGCCCTTATTGCAGCTGCATTACAAGGTGTTACGAAATACCGCACAACGTGTAATCGAGCGGGTGCACACACACACACACACAGCCGGGCGTCGCACCAGCCGGCCCGGGCCCTGCACTTCAATTACCATAATTACATTAGAAAGTGATTCCCGCGTGTTTTAATTATTGATCCGGACAAACAGATCACCACCGACGGGCCCAACGTGCTCCTCTTCCTTCCCGGCCGCCGCCGCCACGCGTCTGCGCAGAGACATCCGATCTCGTGACGGTAAACTCGCACAACAATTTTTTTACCTGGCAACATTCACAACAACTAACTAAAGCAAATGTAAAAAAAAATAAAATATATCTTTGCAAAAAAATTTCTGTAGCTTTACTAAAGGTTTTACCCTTCTTGCAGATACACACACGTTTTTAAGTTTTATGTTACATGATCGAGTTAAACAGAAACAGCAGTATGCATATGGAGGGGACTCGCTCCACTCATCACGCCCGCCCGTTGAAATGGGTAGAAAACGCAGCATCCCAACTTTTCCCTCGTATTTTTCTGAACCGAACACGTAATTCCCTTTGACGGGAGAGGACGCCGAGGCGCTGCTGCCGCCGCGCGCCTGCCTTCCGTGCAAACGGCCGACACATCCCATTCCGCCTCCAGCATCTTTGGAGAGACCTCTAGATCCAGAGACCTCCTGAGAATCCACCTGAGAGACTTCTGGAGAGACGTGTATTGACCCCCGGAGAGACCTGAGAGACCTCTGGAAGAAACCACTGAACCGAGCTGGAAAAACTCCGACCGACGTGGATCCAGTGTTGAGTTATTGGGGTTGGGACCATTTAGGGGAAAATATTTGAAGTGGGAGAAATAGGAGGACGACTGTTGGTGAGCAATTTAGTGTGATTTTTTGCTGGTGGGGAATGCGTTCCAGGAGACATTGTACCGTCCATACACATGCCTAAGAGACACCTCTCGAAAAGACCGAGCTCTGTCTCTGAAAGAAACCGCTGAGGAGACCGCTGCAAGGAGGAGGCGGAGTGGCCTCTGGGGAGTCCTCCGGTAATAGTTAGTTCTGTCGTTATTCCTCGAAACTAAAAAATTCCTCCTCCGGGGCCGTTTGTCAAATGCATGGAAACGCACTTCAAATTGGTTGCATAAGAGCGGCGCGCGGGTCGCTGCGGGGCGTGGCGCTGCCGCGCGCTGGACCCCGTGGGCGAGCAAGCGCAGCAGTGCGCGCTGAGCGGTTTGATGAACACGCTTTTCACCTTCTCAAATCGATAATTGTTGGGCCACTACACGGCCCATCAAGACCATCCGACACGCCGCCGGGGAGGATCCGGCCGCTCTCCAAACTAGGGGGCCTCCGCTCTGCCGCCGGCAGGCCGCCTCCCCCTCAACACCGACCGCATCTGATATAATAAAACTAATAGAATACACGCCGTTCCAATTGGCGCCCTAACGTAACACACGACGACGCCTCCCCGCGATGCAACTGGGCGTGCGTTTTATAACAGTGCATCTCATACTCCACCCACCCACCCACACCCAACACACAGAGTCTATATACAGGATTCCCCGCGCCCTCTGCTGCTCGATTCCCACACTCCCTGCGGCCGGGAGCGGGCCGACCGGACGCACAGGAATTCTGCACTAACGACCTTACCATGCGGAGACATTTTCTCCACGATGGAAAGCCCGTACGTCATTCATGAGCCCGGGGTGGCCACCCTTCCGTGCCCAATCAAAAAACAAAAAAATACAAAAAAACTAGAGCGACTAGAGCTATAATACCGGAATGGTAAAACGTTGTCGTTATACTTCTACAAAGTACAGTTAAAAATGTACCTCCAATGTCGTCTTTCATCCGACAAATTACAAAAACATTTTATAGGTTTTTTATAAAGTTTATAATAATTTACAGTTAAAAGCTGCATTGTTTCACTGAGGAGAGTCGTGGGCTTCGTGACTAATAAGCAGTTTCAATAATTACTTCAGCCGAAAACAAGAATACTGAACCACATTATCGATTAACTACAACTCAGTCACTATGGCTGTATTTTATGTTTTCTTTTTGGGTGCATGATTGAGATTATAGACAAAATATGAAAAAGTGACGGCGGTTGCTAACAATAGTATTCGGGCGGACGGCTTTGCTTCCCAGTACCTATCGATAGCGCCTTACAGCCCGGGCGCGCAGGCAACCCGCATGCACGCGTGCGAGACGGGACAGTCTAGTCTACCTTCGCAAGGGTGCGGCGCGCACCGTGCCCGCCCACCCGTTCGAATGCGGTTTGGTGTAACGATAAATGTAAAAGGGGAAAATTGGTGTGAGCCAGCTACCGGGCCTGTACTCTCACCACACCATCACTTCCCTCTGTGATCATATCATGTAAAAGACAAAACCACGAGATACCAGTGTATCCGGCCGGATGATATCGGAAAGGTTTTATTAGTTTCAGATTACTACTCACGTTCAAATTATTCTTGGACAAGGTGTGCAGCACTCTGAAACACTTGCTGCGGATGCTTTTCCAGACGGTATCCGCCATGTTGTTCCAGGGAAGTCCTCTCTGGATGTCACTGCAAATATCTATAGTCTTACGGGCTTGTTCCAAATCATTACGGCTAAACTTGCTTCACCGGTCCGAACAGACTCTTGACGAAATTTCCGACTGATCTTCGAAAAACTTATTGAGCACTTTTGAGCAATTCTTCCACACAACGGCACTTTCAGGGGCTGGCGCTGGATCCATTCCGATATGTTTTGTCCGGTTATGTCCGCAAGAAACTTTCCAATCAAGCCCTGTAAGTCACTGGATAGTCACTGTTTGGGTCACTCGAGTCACACTAGACCACTGGCTATCGCCAGGTGCGCGGTATCCAGGGCGCCGCTGCAGCACCCGGCGCGGCCGCTCGACTACTGGGCACAACGGGGCTCAGGGGGCGTAAGTGCGCCGCGTGGGGCCACGGCGTTTGTTTTCCCGCGCGCCCCCGCCACCGCTCCGCGGGGCCCTTCTCGTATTATTCTTTTCGGGCTGGACCAGTCTTGGCGTACACCCGCGCCCGCGTGCACACCCCACTTTTCAGGCCGCTCAAGCGCCACTGCTACGCTATACTACACCACCGCGAGAGCAGCCACGGGAGGGCATAAGTGTGTGCCAGAGGGGAAACGGGTTCATCGCGAGCAGAAAATATAATGCGTGTGCGGAACAAAATCAAGTCGACTCTGCGAAAAATAACACCGATATCACGAAAAGGGAGGAAAATGTAAAATAAGTTTTTAAAAAATAGCAAAATTTTACTGTTGTTTTGCCATTTTTGTCCACTTTTGACCAGGTCTTTCAAAGTCATTTCTCATGAAATATAAAACAGAGACAAGAGTTACACCACCGAAGTGTGTGAATGTCGCACACTTGTGTGTCATCAACATTCATAAACATGGAGGCACATGCAAGAGTATGAATTTCAAAGTAGATTATACTCCTTTACTCCCTCGAGTGTGCGGTGTGGGCATTCACACACCTAAGAGTGCGACATTCACGCACTGTGATGTCTGTCAGTGTGTGCTTTTATAATTGGCAAATCAGGCGTCCATCCAAATTAGGAAGTGGGTTGACCCTGCTTTTATGGCAATTCTCTATAGAAATGATTAGTCTACATGTGATTAAACGGTTGTTTTCGCGCAGGGAGAATATGGGTCGACTCCGACGAACCTCTCCTCACTCATGCATAGGCATCATGCACCCTATCGTCGTAAGTCACTTACATGACTCCCCCGACTCCTCCTGGCGTGTGTATGCATGGTGCATCATGTATTTATTATGCACCCGAAACGAAACCGAAGCTGAATGAGCAAGTAGTGTGCCGTAGCGTCGTCGGCTCGCTCCTTCCGTCGCTCCGTCTCTCTCGGGCGACCTGGGAGAGCGACACGGACTGACGAGCTGGCGGCGCTAGCTGGCGCTAGCGCGGGCGGAGGCGCCGCTGCCCGTCCGTCCGGCGCGTTGCTAGCGTTGCGTTGCGTGCTCCGTGTGTGCATTGTCCGCTCGGCTCCCAGGCTCTTTTTCGCCGCGCTTCTCCTTTTCATCAGATGCGAGAGACCCGACGAAAAATTGCCGCGCCGTGCGTTCCCCCCGAGTGAGCCGCTTGCTTCCTGCTCGCGAGCGCTTCCGATCTTCGGCCGAAAGATATCATGTGGGGTCGCTCCCTTCTCTTTCATTTTCATTTTTCTAAACGGTTTGTTGTTGACTTTTTAGCCAAGTCCATTCCCCGGGATTAACATTAAGAGGCTGTGTTAAGTTGGCGGGTACAGGTTAAAGTGCCAGCCACACAAAGAATTCAAGTACCTTAAAGACAGGCACAATTTCGGCGACACATAAAATGACATATTCCACCTCGTCTTGGGCAACAACGTCACCCCTGCCCCTTCCTGCCCTTCTGGTCGTTCCAGCGAGGCATGTTGAATGGCGCGCGAAGGGTACCTCGACGTATGAGGAAACGTACCAACACAGAAAAGGAACGTAAAACTACTTAATGGAGAGATGGACAACAACCGAAGATGTACAAAATTTTGTTTACAAAAACCCCATTGAACTAGCTGATCACTAAGTTCCTGATTACTCCAAGCTTAAAATTCTCGAGGCGAAAATCAACGCAGCAGATAGTTTGTTTAATGCGAAGGTTGGTACTAAGACGGGACCTTCCAGCACCGTAAACATAACCTTACATTCTGACGGGAGCCCCGTTGCAAGTACTCCTAGCTTCTGCTTTTCGATATGGATTTGAAAAATGTTGAGTTTATGACTCAACAATGATAGCACACAGCTCTATCATAGAAAAATTGCTGCTGTGGCAATCAAAATGGACATATCTGCTTGAAGGAATGATTGTCTGAGATTTGTTGTAAAACTGCTCAATGATAACTTAACTCTTAAAGGGCATACCACATCAATTAGATTTAAACATGGAGTCGTCGTCCCAGAACTACCATGGAAAGAAGCCCACTAATAAGACTCAAAAATTTGGCAATCAGCGTAAGAAAGAATCAAGTGGCTCATCAGTCGGAAAACAGCCAGTTCTAAAACAATTAAATATGTACAAGAATGAATCTCATGATACAGAATGTTTGCTATGCAATGAATGCTTTCTTCTCCCTGAAAATGCTGATATTTACCTCTCCCACCTTCTCTGCTCACATCACCTAGTTATTGCAGATACTCACTGCATAGCTGATTTCAAAGGGTTTGTCACTTATTGAATTAAATCGTTGTCATTGTTCCTCCCATTGACTTATCATAGATATTAAATATTCTTTCATTTGCAGATATGTTGATTACTGGCGCACAAGACTAGCCTCAGTGTGTTTGACAGACATTTGCTCTGTTATGCACGCACCAGTCAAAGAAGCAGGGGCAAATCCTCATGTTGAAGGAGAAGAACAAGAGTTTTTTCTTCTCTCCGATGTGCTCCCAGAGGACCGTCTCCTTCGCCAAGGCCTTCAACAGAAAAGACTGGTAATGCATTAATTTGTACGATCAATCTGCAAACCTTGTACCAACATTTGACATTGAAAAAATCAATTTCTAGGAATGGGTTCTTCAGCAGCAGCAATTTGAAAGAGATGACACAAGTTTTAAGAGGGGCTGCCTGATTTGTCGGACAGAGCTTACTGGAACAAGAGCTGGCTACTTGCAACACCTCAATTCAGCACATAATTTACAAATAGGAAGAACAGCTAATCTTGTATTCATAGATGAGTTAATTGACCAAATTGATCAATATTTGAACAAGTACGTAAGCATAGGCTATCATATGTTTTTGAATATACACATGGACCTCAATAACCAATACAAAGTACATTTTATGGTATGTTAAACTTTCAGATTTCAATGCATCTACTGTGAAAAGTTCTTCCCAGATCGACTTATTTTGCGAGAACACATGCGGAAAAAAATGCATAAACGAATCAATCCCAGTAACCAGTTGTTTGATCAGTACTATGCTGTAAATTACCTTGAGATGGGAAAGAACTGGCAGCAAGTAGCTGTAAGTATATGTTGTGTTTGTGTAAAAAGACTACGTAGTCTTGAAAACAAATTTAAAAAAAATTGATAATGATTTTTTTTTTTTTTTTTTTGGAAGGATGAGAAGGAAGAGCCAGACCAAAGTGGCTACACATCTGGCAGTGAAGCAGCTGATGGAGATGTTGCCGACTGGGGCGACTGGAATGAAACAACCGCTATGTCCATAACTTGTCTCTTCTGTGACTCAAAATTTGAACAATGGGAACCAACCTTACAGCATTTAAAGAATAATCATAAGTTTGATTTTGCTTCTCTTGTTAGTCACATGGATTTTTATCAGAAGGTATGAAATTGTTCTTTGAAAGATGCATTGGTGAGCCTAGTACTCCAGCAACCAGCAGAGGTTTCTCACTGTTTCACTTACTCATTGTAGGTAAAGTTAGTCAATTACATCAGGAATCAGGTGGAGAAGAATACTTGTATTGTTTGTGAGGAAATATGTGACTGTCAAGATGTTTTACTAAAGCATATGGAAGAGAAAGACCATAATGACCTGCCAAACAAAGACTTGTGGGATCGTGCTGAGTAAGACATACAACCATGATAAATTTTTCTCTTTGTAAATTTTTTGGTTGAAACAGAGAAAAACCCCTCTCTTCACAGGTATTACTTCCCTACTGAAGAGGATGATGGATTTCTATGCCAGCTAGATGATGGACGAGCAGATGATGAGGGAACACCGGAGTGTGTTACAGGCGAGGAACCTGATCCTCAGCTTTGTGAGGCAATGTAAGTACAAATATCAAAACCAAACAACTTAATATGTTAGGGGCTTGATTTAAATTTGTTAATTCTTATTTTCCAGTGTTGGAGGACATTTATCAGAGGTCATAGAACTAAGAGCTGAGCTGAACAAACCTGTGTCTGCAGACATTACAGAAAATTCTGCTAACCCAGCTCCTTCGACAAAATCAGCACATCATGTCACATTTAAAGATATTGAATAATGCTGATGACACCCAACGTCCTCTTCATGTGGTTGTTGAACTCAATTAGAATACGAAGGAAAAAATAGGTTGATTCGTTATATAAGTTGGAACTAAGTGATGTTTGGTTTATTCATTATACAATAATTTTTGGTTAAAAAGAGGTAGGTAACTCTTATACATGAATTGGTCCAAGTGCTCCCTTTCAGGGACAATCCTCGTGTGCAATACTGAATATTTATTTGAATGTTAAAGTGAAGATAAATGATAAATTAAATGGTTTGTAAATACTCTAACAAATCGATGATTTCTTTCATGACAGCCCAACCAAAATACAATACCGAATATACGTTTAAAATGTTCTTTGAGTTGAGTGAACAAGGTGATAGAAAATAAATACTACTTCCAAGGAAAAAAGTGCTATCAAAATATAGTACAAAATAATGGTGGATTGTCTTTCCTTTCTTTTTAAAAAAGGTTAAAAACAAACCTGATTTAGATAGATTATGATAGTAGGTGTTTTGTTTCCCCTTTAGTACTATTAGATACTACCTAACTTTGGAATTTTAAAATCACTAACCTTGCCACAATGAAAAGGATGAGTTCTTTACCATGATAAATCACAAGGGTCCTCTATGACTTTCCACTAGATGACAGAGAGTTTCAAGTGAATCATTCTTGACAGCTGTGCGGATGCATTTGAAGAACTCCAGATAGTGATGGAGATTGTGCCTGAGGAAAATTCAGAGTTAACAATATTATATCAATACTACATCACATAAGGCATATCAAAGGAACATGATTGATGGACAGAGAGTTAAAATCTTACATCATTAAAAGCACTTTTCCTAACAACTCTTGTGATTTCAATAAATGATGTATGTAGGCTTTCGTGTGTTGTTTACAAGTCAAACAGTTACAATCTATCAAAATAGGTTGAAAATCTTCTTTGTAGCTGCACAAAAAAACAAAACAATGAACTTAAATACGCATCACAACTGGCAGTGCAAAAGAGAGAGAGAAAATCTTGTGTCATCTTACATGTCTTCTTCTATACTAAGTTCATATTCAGGTCCACTGGAGTTTGTATCTTTTCCAGATTTTTGGGAAGAATTGATGAAAGGGGTGGATAAGGCCATGTTTTCATTGAAGGGAAACACAAGTGCAGAACCTCTTTCAGTAGACACAAAAGGTAAAGAAGTGTCAAAAACATCAAAACCTAGAGCCACAAGTTTTAATAACGTGGCAGGACTCCAGGCACCATGTATCACTCTCAGCCTATCTTTCGGAAGACGCTCCTAGAAAAATTTTTAGTGATAAGTATTCAATCAAATTTCTTCAAATAGAAAATACATCTAATATTCTAAAGAAGTTTACCAAGCATTCTCTGATTATAGGTTCCACTGCATTACAAGGAATACTTTCCACTGTTAGCCCATTTGTGTGAAAGCCATCAAAGACATATCCATCAACATTGTACACTGCCATCTCTTCTGATATTAATCTTCTGGCATTCAAGTCATACCCACCTTCTATGGGTGCCAGAAGTGCTACATTTTGTAATTCCTGGTGGAGTAATAGAGGTAGATAATTAAGGTAAGAGAAAATTGCAAACATCAGTAAAGGTACGAATAAAGAATTATATCATACTGTAGAAGCTTGATGATAATTGTAGCAGTCTTTGAACAGCTTGGAAGTCCTTGTCATAGACTTTACTATGCGCTTCTTACTACTATCTGAATTGACATCTCCATCACACAAGGCAAGATACATGTCTGGTTTCATTTTTTCAATCATATTCATATACCTATGTAAAGTTAACAATTACAGCTATGCAGAAAAAAATACAGCAAGGAGAAAATAGTGAATACATAGTAAATATTTGTCATATACACACTTTGATGGATCCACAGTTCGTTTTCCATTTTTGGTCCAGACAGCGACCTCATCTCCTTTGTTATATCCAGATGGTGTTTCAATACCTGGATCCTGAGGCGTAATATAGGAAGGATATTCCTAGCAGAATAAAGAGAACACAATTGTCAGGGTCATTTTCTTTAGAAATTGGTGAGAAGAATAAAAGATGATGTTGCTTAGACAAACCAACAAGGTTACCTTAAGACCGACAAACTCTGATATGCTTTGACCACATGACTCTATACTTCTTAGTGCTGTCATTATAGTTGGCAAGGGCATGAGCATCATTAGATTCTCTGTTGTAATCAGTTGCAGCACTTCATGAGTAATGTGAGGTACATTCCCACCCTGAAAAGAAACAAAAAATGAATTAATGTCGAAAGCGTCCAAGTGAATTTTATCACGCAGACGTGTGTCGATAAGATACCTGTTTATTCAAGACCATTCAAAAATTGATGTCTTTAAAATTTCAATTATTATGAGTATAACAAGTTATGTACATACCCGCGTGTAAATTGTAAGAAACGGTGTATCAAATGTTTCTCCTTGCCGATTTGGCAAGTTACTGATAATTCCTAATCGACCACACTTTCCACTAGATTTGACTAAAAATTTCATGTTTGAGGCGATCACTTGCACATGGGAAACAACACTTTTTCGCGGGGTTTGAAGATAAGGTTAAGTGTGTTTATTTCTTCTGCTTGTGTGTGATGTTTTGATTAATCAGCACGGCCCTCTGGATGTGTCGATCAGTCGAGTGGGGTCTCGAAAGAGCAAAAATTTCGATCTTCGATGTCTTCGAGAGGCGCACTTCCGCTTTTCGGATTTTTTCTTTCTTCTTCATCACCCGGGAGCCATCTTAGCGGCGTGTGGGCTAGTTGTAAAGGTACGAGTTGGTGAAAATATAGTGGGTTGTTCAAGGAAATTGGTGGATTTGGATATCAAATCTTCCATTTTTTACTGCCGCTAAGTATGTAGAGAAAGAATTTCCTGTGCGCGTTGTCAGGCGTTCGATTTTACCAAATCGGCGTATCACGAAGCTGTTCAGTCTCATGTTGTTACTTCGCCACGTGGTGAAATTTATGTTTGAAAACCTAATTTTTGGGGTCCCTCTCGTTGAGCGTTAACTAGGCCGGTGTCATTCATTTTGTCGGGTTTTGAGTGCGGTACTGTTACTTGTCGGTTGTCCCTAGTAGATGTTCACAATGTGGGGTTATGAGCGCCCTTGTCAGGTTCATGTCAGCCGTGTACATTACGTATATTAACTATCTCTCACATATTGGCGCTGGTGTCACTAAACCTGTCGAAATTGATCGGACGTCTTTAAGGTGTTTATAATCTTATCTTGTTGTTCTCAGCTTCAAGATGACTTCCCATCTCTCATGGATGATTGTTCGCAACAACAGCGCTTTCTTGTTGAAGAAGCGCAACCTCAGCAAGCCCTTCAGCACTGTGAGTTGTATTTTCTGTTGTGTGCACGTTACTGGTATTACTTTCAGTCTGATTTCGTTTGACTTTCCTTTTTTAGGAGCCCAACAATTTGTTAAACCTGAACTCGTACAGATACAATGGACTCGTGCACAAGAAGAGTGTTGGCATCGTTCCTGCTGCTGACAAGAAGGGCTTCACTGTTGTGTACAAGAAGGCTAAGGCCAGTGTAAGTATCATGAATCTCACTGAGTTATTTGTCTTATTTTTGGATTACTGCAGGTTCTTCTTAATGTGTTTACAGCACAAGCCCGCCAAGGCTACCATCAAGAGGACACTCAAGTCTGGACCCCGCCGGTCTCTGACCAAGTTGAGGAGATTGATCCATGCCAACCACTACCGCCGGGATCTTCTCAAGGTAATGTGTGACATGTTAGAATTATACACAAATTTACCTAGGTGTTATGTGTTGTGCTAACTGGTATTTGTTTACAGGCTGCCCTCCGCAGGGCTAGTGCTGTTCTGAAGTCTCAGAAGAAGCCTGTTACATCAAGGAAGGCACGTGCCAAGAAGGCAGAGTAATTTAATAAAATTTCTTTCACTTACGACATGTTTCTTGCATTTCTTCCATCCATTCCAGTAAACAGTGAGACTTGATTTTGGTCAATAGAAACTTTATTTGGAATCATGGCATTGTCATCAATTTATTACTAAACAATGAAAAGATTATCAAAATTTAAGCTTAAATTCATATACTATAAATCTTGAACCACATTTATAAAGTTGTAACTTGTGTAGAAACAAATCTAATGTATGTGAAGGATATTAACTTCTTCCAACGTCAAGTACAAGCTGACTACAGATCTTTCTAGTCAAAAATCTAGAAATATTTCAATGTCTTAATTTAATGCAACACATTTTATAAGGTCAGTCATTAAGACCATTGGAATGGGTTAGCCACTAATCCCACCCAAACAAATCACAGATTGGTTTTGAATCAATTGAAAGAAGCCCTTTTTTTGGTGAGGATGTTACCTCAATGAACTCATTACTTGTCTTGAGGCCTTTCGTCTGGAGCCCAATTCTCGGTCTTCTGAAGGGAAGTCTTCATCTGATTCACAATCAGTGGACTCACTTCTGTGCTGCCATCTTGCTACTAATGAATCCCACTAGAAAAGAAATATAAAGATAGTTTATATTTTAGATCAGACTTGAGTAAATTTAAATAGGTTTCAAAAGGAGTACTTACTCCAGTGCTCACGAGTTCAGGTTTATATGGGTGCCAAGAGACATCTCGAACACAAGCTTTATGGCCAGTTAAAATCTTGGCGGTTTGACCAGTCAATGCATCATAAACTGTGACAACATTAAAAAAAAAATTAAGATTAACTTGACTCTCTTCCCTTAATCGTAAATAAACTGAAATTGTACTTACTTAGTACTCGCCCAAGAGCACAGCCTGTGTAAATGTAACGCTGACCAGTTGAGGCAGCAGGTGAAAATCGGCATCTAATAAGTGTCTGCAGCACTTTGTGCCCACGATAAGTCATTACTGATGTATCACCATCCAAACTCCGGTGAGATGATTTAACTGATCAAAACATGATAATTAGTGTAGAAATAGGACAAATATGAGTGGATGTAGAGGTTTCTTAAAATAGATCAGTGATGGGGTGTATGCTAACAAATTTCAATTACAGTAGGACAACCAAAGCTAAGAGTACAGCTTATTTTACCCTTCTTCACATTAATACTTACATTTGGAAGGAACTTTCTGATATCGGTAATCCCAGGTCTGATTGGATGCAGCCCTGATACTTTCCCTTTGACACTCTTCACTAGAGAGTCTCCTTACATCCCACAATTTGATTGTCTGATCTTTGCTATTTGACAAAAGATGTCTACCATCTCCTCTTGGCTCAATAAATGTGATGCCATCCAAGTGCCCAGCCAGTACTCCAACTGGCTTTGGATCTGATTCGGAGAGAGTACGTCTGTCCCAAACCTATTTTATAAAAACAAAATGTTGTACAAAACACACAAAAAAATAATTAATGTTTATTATAATGAAATTGCTGATTTACCTTGCATAAGCTATCATCACTTCCACTGTACAAAATATGGGAAGTGCTATCAGCGTATGCCACTGTATTGACATCACCATAATGCCCTTCAATCTAAAAAGAAGCAACTAATGAATAAAATGCCTTTCAAAGATGCTGACCCTTTCTGCATTTCTAAAACAATCAAACATACTTTGAGAACTCGTTGGTTTGAAAACCGATCATAAATGTAAAGGAAGCCATCATTTGTGCCGCACAAGACCTCTTGCCCATCTTGTGAGAAAACAAGTGAGAAAACACAAAAGCGGCTATCAATGGGTGTCAGTTGTAGTGCATCTTGTGAATCAGAGTCACCGAACAGACGAACAAGATAAACTGTAAAACAATGTTTTTTCAAAGATAATAACAGAAAACTTGTCAGATAAAAAATGAGGTGTTAATGAAGGATTCATGCTCACCACTATCAGACCAACTTGAATAAACACAACAGCTTCCATCAGGACTAAAGGCTGTGTCCAGAATACTCCACCCTACATCACGGGCAGCAATTTTACGGAGAAGAGTAAACCGTTTACCGTTAGTTCTGTATAATCTCAATATTCGATCTGCAATAATGTTAAAGAAAAATTATACATAAAAATGTTACCACTAAAATCCATATTAGTCATGAAATTACAGTCACATTTTTTCAAACCTTGGCATGCAGAAAGAAAATAGTTTCCATCTTGAGAGTAAGTACCACAAAAGGCTTTGTGATGGTACTTGTCTTCTACTGTCATTTTATTGGGAAGAAAATGGTTCATAGTACTTGACAGATCATGGGAAGAAAATCCACACCCTCCTTTCATCCCTGTCTACAAAATATAATTTTTTAAATTTAACAGTAAAATTGCTACCATTTTAGTTGAAAGCAAGCATTTGGACTTAAAACTCATTCGCTACAAAGGGGAAGAGGGAAATCCCACTTTGCCTAGATGTACAAGTTCAACAGCTGATAATAAGGAAATACACACAAATAAAACGAAAGTTACTCACTTCTCGCTGGCAAAGTAACTTCATTACAGGAGGTGGTTTTGAATATTGAGATTTAGGATCTGGTTTTAACCCACAGCCCATCTTGGTCATCAAGCAGAACTCACTTTGCTGGTGGTGACAGAGGGGAAAAAATGTTACGGCTCATATTGCAAAATTTATAATTTAAAAAAAAATTATCTAAATATTGCTGTGCACTTACCTCTAAAGTTTGAGTTTCTGTCACTTTGGAACTACTCTGTGCTGAAGTGGAGCTTCCCTCCTCATCCTCATCATCATCACTGTTGTAGGACCATGGGCTCCTGGTGAGGGAAAAGAGAACATCTTTACCAAACAGATACATAACACCCCTGGAGTGGGCACCACCTGCACCTGAAAGACAACATTTTTCCTCACCTGATGATCGGTGGCAGGTCGCGAGAGGACAGGGATAAAATGGATCCCTGCGTCAGCGCCAGGATAGCGCGCGCGCGCGACGTGTAGGGGATGGAAGCACTCGTGCGCCCGGAGCCGGACCGACTCCGAGTGTTGTAAACCACTGATGAAGTGGATTGCCGTCCGCCCCCGTCCACCCCAACATCTCCATCGCCTCGATCGGACCGATCGCTACTACTAGATGACGAACTGTCACCATCCATGCTGTGCTGCGAATTTGACGTACCCATACGACAAAATGAGACAAAAGGGCTCAAAATTCAAGCCGGGGGGGTGACACAGTAGATTGCACAACATATGAGCAGTAGGCATCCGCAGCTGGCGATACGCAAAACACGACAAAACATTGGGAGTCCATTTATGAGTGGGCCAAGATTACCAAGTCCAGTGAGAAAAATCAGACGCAGGCGATGTCCGCTGGTGTGTCGTTGGGGAAAACTGGGAAAAAGTTGCAGTCACACAGTTGTTGGACTGACGCGAACACTTTCTATTTTGCCCAAGCAGAAAGAATATTGGGTTTATTGTGACAAGCTTGACGTCTTCACCATCTGTTGGCTGCTATTGTTATTGACGATGCAGCCAACAAGCGGAATAGAGTAAAGAATGCATGAAATGTTCTGAAAATGGTTTCCGCTAAATATATTGGAATAAACTATGTCACTAAGACAATATAAAAATAGAGAACATCATAATTACGATAAGACTTCTAAAGCCGAGAGGTTTTATCGTTGTCGCTTGCTCTACCACGTTGGCTACAGTGTTCACAGAAACTAAGATTTAAAGAGCATATTTTGATTTGTCTTTCCACTTCGTTTCGGTTACTGGATCAAAAGTTCAATTTGATTGATTTCCCCTTTCCATGTTTAATTCTTCCTCCTTATATTTTCACGTCGTTAAATTTGAATCTAGAAACGAGCACGACGAATAAATGTAATTATTACAAGCGAGTACTGCTATGTACTTTGAATATCCCGCGTTTAAAGAATGGAACAGATTGTTATGATTACGAAAAGGCGCTCTTTTTCCGAATCCTAACCTCTTAAAGAGTCTGTTATCTTATCCTGTTCTGGTACTGCTAACTGGTATTTAGCCGCTTCTATACTTCTCGAACCCGGAGTAAAAGTAAACAGGTTACCAGCATGGACCGTCCTCCTTCCAGGCCGGCTGATACGTTCGTCATGCAAATGGGTTTAAGATCCTTTGCCCAGTTTGTATTCTATCCTTTTGAATTAGGAAGAACTTTGATTCAGGTAAAGTCATGACATACTCTGCTATACATTTTTTGTCATGAATAAAACTTGGCTGTGAATTTCTGAGCTCAGTTGTCCCTGAGAGCTGAAACTCAGAGCACCTGCACATAATTCATTCTTTCACAATGTACTTTGGAAGTTTTAACAGCGGTTTTCTTTACAATTCAGTTATTTGTAATTTCAATAATTTTTCTTTCAGCTTGGCTATGAACCTATTGCACCATGGCCAGGGAAAACGTGGAGTGGTCAGACTAAAATGATGCTGCCGAACATTTTTCAATATGGTATGGCAAAGGATTTTTCGCTCCTAAAAAGTGTTTCACAGAATTCTGTTACTAATTACTTTTTCTTGTTTTTTTTCTCTTTAGTGGGTTTCATGAAAGCAAGGGACGGCACAAATGTCATTTATAGTGGAGTCAAAGTTCGCATTTTTGAACATATTGTTGGTCAGTGTGCGTATTACCTGGCCACGGATTCGCTACCAACCTCTGATATTGAAATGAAAATTGATGAAGGAAAGGAAAATGTCACTGAGGAAGAAAGGTACATAGTTGAAAACTCACAGTTTAAGATTTTCTGTTTTCTGTTTCTAACTTTCAATTTCAATTTTTTTAGGAGGCAGTGGTATTTAGATGAGTTTGTAAAGGCTGCCACTGGGAGAACATGTGCTGTGATTTTTAGTCATCCATTCCATGTATGTGCTGTCAGGTGTATGGCACAATTTATTGGCCAGGAAACAAAATATGTGTAAGTTTTCTCACAGATAATACTGGTAATTGTGATTAATTTGTCCAATTTTTATTGTTTTACTAAATCTTATTGCTTTTAATTTTCTGTCTCTCCAGTGGTATATTTGGTTCAATTCGAGAACTGTACCGAGAAAATGGCGTTTCTGGCTTCTTTAGTGGCCTGGTTCCACGTCTCTTGGCTGAAATTTGTCAGTTGGCCATTTGGCACTCTCTCACTTTTGCTCTTACTACTTATGTTTCTCGTGAAAAGGAACATCGTGATATTTTTTCCACATTGATGGGCGTAAGTGTGGTAGTAAAAACTGGCAATGTTTTGGTTTTCAGCTATCTTCTGTACTGATTTTTTTCTTTCACTCTCTCTTTCAGTTTGTTGCATCCACCTGCACATATCCCCTATTAGTTGTGTCTAACTGCATGTGTGTCTCAGGAGTTGGGTATGTCTTTGAACTAGAAAGAATTTTTGAATATAAATTAAATATATTCTGTATCTCTTACATAACACTTACATTACTTGTTTTTAAATCTTTCTTTCAGACTTGCTGCAGGACAACCACCCAACATGAGGGTTTATTCATCCTGGATTGATTGTTGGAAGCACCTAGCCGCAGAGGACCAGTTGTGGCGAGGCTCTAGCATTTTGCTGTGGCGTTATGACACTCGTCGTCTGAAATAAAATAACTCATTTCATTTCTTCTTCATGCAATAATTTCAGCTGCCTGTATGCTTTACTCAAGTCTGACTGTTTTACTCAGGAAATATCGCATTTTTAAATTTTTAAACCCCGGTTTGTTTGCAAGGTCTCGTTACATTAATCAATATCTGTTGTAAGTTGTTTTCTTCTTGACTTACTGACCTACCTGTTCAATTAATTTTGCTGCATCTGTAAGAAAAAAGCTATCCTTCTGTGTTGAACTTATCATAACTATTGAATTGTTGTAGAAACAGTATGTGTTGTATGAATGTTAATCCAAGCACATGTCAGTGCTGTTGTTGATTTGAGGGAGGCGTTCTATAATTTTATTTCATAATTGTATGTCCTCTCTTGTTTTGTTTTCCAATAAATAGTCTAAAAAAATTGTAACAATGCTAGTTAGAGTCAGTGAACCACCCAAGTACTTTCAAGGGTATTTAAGAAGTCCTCCTCGGCCACGGCCATCCACCACCTATCACCCCGCTACTCCCACCCCCACCTTGTTGCCCATAATCAAATCTGTAGATTGCATTATTTGTTTAGTTGTGTAACGCCGGAGGCGTCCTATGCAAGAGATACCCACGCGTTATCACATGCAGAAACCACTGTTTAGCATTGTTGGGGATGTAACATTAAGAACTTTTCCAAAAATTTTGATTATTGAAATGAAGACTTGAAACTTCTGTAATTTAAATAGAGACAGTCTTGGGGACTGTCTGAAAATTAAAACGCAGATAAATCGATGCCATGTGCGCGGGATACCGATAGCGAACTCCCCTCACACCACAGCCCCTGGCCTGGCGGTGCCAGGAAGGTCCAGGACTCCTTGAAGTGTCCTGTAGGGTAGGCGAGCCGGCCACTTCTAATGGTGTTGCTGTTACGTAATCCTTGAACGATCGCTGGGTGGGGGTCAACAGGCCCGCGAGGAGGTCCGGCCGGCGGCCCAGGACCGACACCCGCCTCCCGCCGATTGTCCAATCTCACACACACACAATTTAGCCTTCCGCCCCGCGCCCGGCCCGAGCCGCGGGCCTCGAGGCCAGCGGTTTCCTTGGTGGCCACGGGCCGCCGCGGCAGCGGGCGGGCTCGCCTCTAGGCTCGCCGACAAGGGCCAGCCTGGTGGACTCCTCGCCGCGCCCGGGCGCCATGCGGCCAGCAGCTGCTCTGCGAGGACCCCACCGGCGCGCTGCTCCCTATTCACGCCTCGCGGCCTCGGACGCCCGTCAGCCCCCACATCGCCGATGACACGTCGTCGTTGACACGTTTGTTGGCTCTCTTCCGCAGACGTGCAGAGGCGTCAGTCAGGAGGGAAGCTGGCTCCTCCTCCTCTCCATGGAGGCCGTGGACCGAAAGGGGCTGCTGGCGCTAGTGCCTGGCCGTGCGCCCCGACCCCACCCCCTGGCACCCCTTGTGAGCCCGAGCGCCTCCCGTCGTGTCCCGATGTCCTCCGTACCTACTCCGGGCTCTAGTCCGGGGCGGGGATGGCGACATGACACGGCTCAGCGGTCGCCACGCCGCGCCGCGCATACCAACGCCG